AATACACTGCTGAGGGGAACAGCGGGCGAGACAGGAGAGGTCTGCTGCACCACGTGGGTCAGCTCCCTGGCAGGGATCGAACTCATGCCGCAGTGGTGCCGATAGCTTCATAGTGCTGACGCTTAACCCCTTGCGCCACTAGGGAGGCCCTGTTGTTGATTTTTTACTTCATAATCATAAACTTTGCAATCCAGCTAGACTTGGAAGGGGATAGGAAAGCATGGAGCCCATACTCCCTCTGTAGGGCGAGCACAAAGATGATTGGATATTTTGAGCAGATGAGAGTAAAGGGGAATGCTCTTGAGCTACAAAAAGAATGTTCTCGAGGTTAAGATAGAATACAAGTCAAATGTATTAGAATTATCCTTGGTCAGCAATGACGATCTTGCTGGCCTTGCCATTCCTGGGCCCACAGTGCTCGCTGATGTTCACAGTGCTCACGGCTTCACTCACCTGGCCAAAGACCATGTGGTTGCCACATGGAGCAAGAGCCACTTGCTCTTGGCAATGCAGAGGAAAAACTGGGGACCCCTTGTGTTGGGTCCAGCATTTGCCATGGACAAGATTCTAGGATCTGTGTGCTTTTGGATGAAGCTCTCATCATTAACTATACCCCCACAGTTGGAGTTGCCACTGCTCTCGTTGTGGAATGGGAAGTGACCACCTGGCTCTCAAATCCTGGAGTCAGTCTGTGAAAGTAGGAACCTCCATAATCAAATCCTTTCTCCCCAGTGCTCAGAACAGGAAAGTTTTCTGCTGTCTTTGGAACTTTGGAAACTGTTCCAAGGAGATTGCACCCTAAGGCCCCACTGTCAACAGTGACATCGAAGAACAGGAAGTGGACCATCTGGCAGCTGCAGTGCTCCCTGGCCTTTAACAAGCTTTATTGATCTATAATTCAGATAGTATAAAATTCACCATTTAAAGGACAGTTGTCGGGGCCTCCCTGGTGGCACCAGGGGTTAAGTCACAGCACTATGAAGCTATCCCCACCACTGCAGCACGACTTCGATCCCCGGCCAGGGAGATACCCACATGGCACAGCAGACCTCTCCTGTCTCCCTGCTGCTCCCCTCAGCAGTGTATTTTAGTCAGTCTGCCTGTTCTGCTCCCCACTCTGTCTCTGGTGAATCCTCTCACGTCCCGCATCTCTGGCCTGTACCCCAGCTCTTGTATGCATAAATAACCATACCCAATTAAGGAGTCACTCCCAATTTCTTTCAATGCTTCCCCCCAACCTGGTAACCACTAATCTGCTTTCTGTCTCTGTGAGTTGGCTTTTTCTGACCCTTTCATACAACATGTGGCTCTTCGTCCAGTCCCTGTTTGAATCCTCAGAGAGGTGAAGACACTGGCCCAGGTGTGGGTTCCTGGCTCTACCAGGAGCAAAGACCTCTGACCAAGCAGCCAGAAACCTGTCATCTCTAATCTGCTTTTGAGCTAAATCAGAAGCACTGGCCGGGTGCCTACTTAATTCAATTAATACAGGTTAAACACTGTCATTTCCTGGGCCCTGCTGTGATAACATGGTGGGGAGTGGGTGGCTCAACACAGCTAATGAGTTGAACCAGAAGTCAGCAGTCTGGGACCAGAGCGTGTGAACTTAACCACAGAGAGCCTGTCCTGCTGAGTCACCTGGTGAAGCACATTCCTTAAGGGGCTTGGTGAAGGGCCTTAATTTCCAGAGGCCTGGAGGAAGGGACTTTATCGAGGGGCTGTGAGCAACAAGGCCGATCTCCTCATGAGCATCGGGTTAGCTGTGAAGTCAAACTAATTCAGCCAACACTGCCTGCCTGGCTGCTTCCTTTCAAGCCCAAGGGTGTTGGAGGGTGAGGTATCAGGAGTCACTTCCAGTTGGGCTCAGCATCAGGGGGGCTCAGCCCCCAGCTGCGTGGGTTCAGAGCGGGTCCAAGTGTCTAGTTTCTTCTGCAAGGTAATGCTCGCGCAACCATAATGGGCTCAGGGTGTTACTTGTTACAGGTTTCGCATGACCTATACCTTTCTAGCTTCTAGAAGCTTCCTAGGAGTGAGCAGGTCACATCCTGCTTGATTTACCACATTCTCCTCTCAGTGGCCCCTGGGTTCCCGGCTCTACCAGGAACAAAGACTTCTGACCAAGCAGCCAGAAACCTGTCCTCTCTAATCTGCTTATGAGCTAAATCAGAAGCACTGGCCGGGTGCCTACTTAATTCAATTAATACAGGTTAAACACTGTCATTTCTTGGGCCCTGCTGTGATAACATGCTGGGGACTGGGTGGCTCAAAACAATACAAAGTTATTTTCTCATAGTTCTGGAGGCTCAAAGTTAGCTTCTGCCTCTGTCATTACAAGACTGAGTCACTGGCAGGATGGATTAGGACGCACCCCACTCTAGGGCACCCTCATTTTACCTCATTGCATCTGTGAAGAGCACTGTCCTAGTACATTTCAGGTACTAGGGCTTGGGATTTCAACATATCTTTGGGGGCACAATTCAACCCACATATACATACAATGTACTTGGATGCTGTCTGAGGAGCGGCCAGCCCTTGAGCAATGTCATTTTATTCAAGGTCATTTTATTCTTTTTTAAAAAAGATTTGTTTATTTATGCATACAAGAACTGGGGTACAGGCCAGAGGTGCGGGCAGGTGAGAGCATTCACCAGAGACAGTGCGGAAGGGGTTAAGACTCAACCTATGGAGCTATCCGAAGCTTCTGCAGCACGAGTTCAATCCTGGCTGGCCAGGGAGCTACCCACATGGCGCAGCAGACCTCTCCTGACTCATCCACTGCTCCCCTCAGCAGTGATTTCAGTCAATCTGCCTGTTCTGTTCCCCACTCTGTCTCTGGTGAATCCTCTCACCCCCCCCCACCCTGCACCTCTGGCCTGTACCCCAATTCTTGTATGCATAAATAAATAAATTTACCCAAAAAAAAAGAATTTGACTCTTACTTGTATCAATAGCCTATGTCAAGGTGGGTTCGTTAGACATAGGTTTGCTTAAGTTGCAGTTTCCAAGAACCAAGGTTATTAGTGCGGACTTGGTCGACTGGGTGAGGTACCGGATTCCAAGATACCGGACTTCCTTGTGTTGCCTCTGGGGAGAAGCAGGGGAAGGTCTTTGAAGGGCTACATTTTCTGCTCTGAACTTGCAACCTCATCAAAGAGCTCAGCAAATATTTGTTGAATGAATTAGTGCCATTTGTGCTTGATAGCTGGCTAACTCCTACTTTAGAGCTGTCAACTTCCTTTTCTAAACACAGTAAGCAAGGCACTTTGAAGACAGGAGACAGCACTAGGTAGTCTTAGCATTTAAACAGAATTAATTGTAATATACCTGTTCTACCCGGCCAGCTCCCTGGAGCCAGCCCAGCGCGGTCCACCAGGGGTCTTCCCCTGGGTGGGGACCTATTGGGAGACAGTGTAGGAGGGTGGCTATGAGGATGGGTCTTCTGAATCTCCCACCCCTTTCCAGGACCTGCATCACTCCCAGGATGTTTTGCGGGGAGAGGGAAGCCCAGGGGTGGGGCTGATGTGGGACAATTCACTTGAAAATGAATTCAACAAAGTGCCTCTAACCAGAGCAAACAGCGTGTTTATTATGAAAAAGAGAACTTTGTATAGACACAAGTTGGACCATTGCATTTGGAAAGCCAGGTTTATAAAGAGAAAAGGACATTTGCATAGACACACACGGGCAAAGCGCTGTTTTTAAAAGGACTGGGGTGGACTTTCATATTGTTCTAGGTGGAATTTCTCACTCTTTTTTGTTCTTCACATTTTAAAATGACAGGTTTATTAGGCAAAGAGAAATAGGAGAGGCACCAGCAGTCACAGGCCGGCAGGAGAGGTGTGTTGCCAGTGCAGAAATTGTACTGATAGAGGGTTCTTCTTTTGGAGAGTTCATGCCTTTGTGTGATTGTTACCTATTGTTAAATTCCTTCTAGGGTGTGATTAGGTTGATCCGTAAGGGCCAAGGATTCTGTATAAAAGCCCTCAATCTCCATATCCCACTTCTGGTCTGCCCCCTCTGGATACTTTCTGTTGCAGCCTGACACTTGCTAGAGAGGTTGGCGCCTAAAGAGTTTTCATTTCTAAAGCTGGTTTAACAACTATGGTCATGACTTCTACCTCCAGCTCCAGTGCCTGGTGTTGTGATGCCTCCATCCTCAATTTTCTGCTCTTAGCCTGGGTTGGTATCCACGTCCTTCCTCTCTGGGATTCCTAGACTGTGCTTCCAGTGACCCAGCCGACAGGAAGTCTCAGGGCGAGGGAGCTCACCGATCCTCAGTCTGTTTGGGCTGTTACCATAAAAATATGAGAGATGGGGTGGCTTAAACAACAGAAAACTTCTTCCTCCCAGTTCAGAAGCCTGGGAATCCGTGAGCAAGGCACCTGCTCCTTTGGTCTGTGGTGAGAGACTGCTTTCCCGGTGCGCACACTGACACCTGGTGTGACCTCTCGAGGAGGAGGGAGAAAGAATCATTCTTGCATCTCTTCTTCTTTTCATTCGAGAGGGCTCCACCTTCATGACACCTGACAGCGACCTTCTACTTGGACACCCCAAAGTGAAGCCCCTGTAAAGCCGCTCTCCAACTCCTGATCCACAGAAAGTGGAAGACAGAATAAATGCTTGTTGTTTTAAGCTATTGTCTGGGGATAATTCATTACATAGCAGTAGTGCCCTAACCCAGAGGCCCCTCCCACCCCCCTCTTGCTTTTGCTTCCCTCCCCCCCTCTGTTTTCTTGAACACCCCCTCCCTCATCTCCACACCCATGATGACTGCATTGAGGACGTACGGAAGTAGACTATGCGGAGACAACTCTGGGAATATGCAGTATTGTTCGTTTTTTTTTTTTTTAAAGACTATTTTTTTTTTTAAGATTTATTTTTATTTATTTATACAAGCACTGGGTACAGTCAGAAGCGCGGGAGGGTGAGAGAATTCACCAAGCGAGGGCGGGGAGCACAGCAGGCAGAAGGACCGAAGGACACTGCTGAGGGGAGCAGCGGGCGGCAGGAGAGGTCTGCGCGCCATGTGGGACCCTCCTCCCGTGGCCGGGGAGCAGCCGAGGATCGAACCGGCGCTGCAGAGGCTGCGGGCAGCTTCGCAACCCAGCGCTCAACCGCTGCGCCACCGGGGAGGCCCAATATGCAGTATTGTTAACACGCGATAGAAAAGGTGTGCAAGCTCAGTAGCCGCCCAGGAAATGGGGCTTCAAATAAGCAAGACACTTGGAAAGGACCGAAAACAAATGACAAGCTGCCATTGAAATGTCTTCTAAACCAGCACACCTATGTTGAGTGGACATTTTGAATACACATAAATGACCACATTCTAAAGAGTTTTTGCTAATATACAGATCCCGAAGGAGGTTTACACTGAAACAGAGCACGGGCATCTCTGTGGGTCTGCTAGACTTAAGCAGCCTGTTCAGCCACCATTCTCTGTTACCTGCAGTTCTGCATTCCTGGACAAGGCCAGAACTGTCTGGCCAATCAGCCATAGGATCCTAACCTTACAAGGTGCCTTTCCAATCAATCAGAGCAGAAAGCTTGATCACCCCGGGAAGGGTGTGCATCACGAGATGTGACTGGGAACGCCCTGGGGGCCGAGGACCAATGTATGACATGGAACCCCAGAAGGTGATCAGTGGAATGCCTTGTTGATAAGATTGGAACCATGGCCACGGGTCTGGGGTTTGTTTTTTTTTAACATTTATTTATGCATACAAGAACTGGGGTACAGGCCAGAGGTGGGATGTGTGTAAGAGGATTCACCAGAGACAGAGTGGGGAACAGAACAGGCAGACTGACTGAAATACATTGCTGAGGGGAGCAGCGGGCGAGACAGGAGAGGTCTGCATCACCATGTGGGTCACCTCCCTGGTCAGGGATCGAACTTGTGCTGCAGTGACTGCGGATAGCTTCATAGTGCTAAGACTTAACCCCTTGACCCCTTGCGCCACCAGGGAGGCCCCTCTGGGGTATGGTTTTGATGGTTGTCAAGCAGCTAAGAATTATCTGGTCAGCAGGCTCATGTCCCCCCAAGCCCTACATGACAAAAACACATTCTTTGGTGTCACTCATCTTTTTCTCCTTGTCCTCCTGCCCCACGTATCTGATGCCATGTGATTATTCTATCAATGAGAAGGCCAGGATCTTGTGTGTGCAGCAGCATTCTGCACCTTGCAGCCTGCTCCACGCCTCCTGGTTATCAGTGTGGTGTTGCCCACGCCACATATCTCTGCACTTGAAAATACACTTAACACAAGACAACCACTTTGTCATGCCTTAATCCAATTTTGGCCCATACTGGGCTTTCTCATGTCACCATTAGAACCCAGGGTGCAGGAGGTCAGTCTGTCCAAACTTCCTGGTCTCTGTTACCCCTTGGGGATAGCTGGCTGCTCCCTCACTGATGGCCTGTGGGTGAGTAGACAGAGAGTCAGTGTCACGGTGAGGCCTCTCTGCTCCCGCAGGCTGCCTGGGCTCAATACCTGTCTCCTCAGTTTTAGGGGATGTGCCCCTCCCCCCCCAGGTTCATCCCCTATATTCATTCAGGATAAGGTCTCATGTACCCCAAAGCCTGAATTCTTAGCTACTAAACACACACACTGAGTTCCCCTTCACCTGAGGACAGGGAACCTGCCTCGGGACCTACAAAGGAGAGGACAAAAGCACCTTAAAGCAGTGAAAAGGTTCAGGGTGCACCAGCCCCACGTGGGCCAGTACCCCCGTACACACGACGAGTGCCACTAAGCCAATTCCTCTGGTGCTCCCAAGAGCTGAGTAAGCAAGTTCTCTGTGAGGTTCACTTTTCAGGGGGCACAGTAAGCACAAAGAGGTTAAGCCAGTTGTCAGAGGTCACCAGGCGGGCAGCAGAAGAATCTGGCTTTAAATTCAAGAATCTTGATCCCGGGCCCAGGCGCTGCATGCCCCTCACCCCAACTCTCTGCCTGGGTGGGCGGGGGTGAGGAGGGGCTTGGGGGGCCAGAGGAGTCTATCTCCCGCCAGGCCTAGGTCAGCCGCGATGCCCACCCACTCTGGCAGGAAGGCCGCTTCCGGCCTGAAGATCCAGCGGAAGGGGGAGTCGGGCAAAGTGTAATTGGCCAGGTAGACGGTGTGCCCACCCGTCAGGTAGGCCGCCCAGATGCCGAAGGTGCCCACGGTGATGACGCTGTGGTTGCACTGCGTGAGCAGGGCGAAGTCCCTGGCGGGCGAGCCCTGGCGGCCGCTGCCCGCGAGCACCACGTCCCGGAGGGAGCGGTCGATGTTCCGGCGGCACCAGGGCATGTCGTCGCTGGAGACCACGAAGACCGCGGCGCGGTAGCGGGCCCGGAACCAGGCCAGGGCCCGCCGCAGGTAGCCCGGATCCGCCACCACGCCCTTCCACACCCTGGGCATGACCTGCACGTAGTCCCCGCGGCGCACGTGGACCCCCACGAAGGTGCTGGGCCGGCTGCCGTTCACCCGCAGGCCGCGCAGGAACCGCTGCGCCTCCTCCCGCACGTGGTCGTGCAGGGTGAACTCGCGGAGGATCTCGTCGCGGAGGTGGTGGTAGAAGGTCCAGGAGCAGGGGTAGCCAGTGAGGCGCACGTAGTCGCCCTGGATGTGGCGGTACTGCTCCTCCATCCAGTCGTTCAGGTGGTAGTTCCGCCAGGGGATGCTGCTGGCCGTGGCGTCGTGCAGGACCGGCAGGCTGATCCTGAAGATGGGCGCCAGCGTGCGGTGCATCTGGGCCGGGATGAAGGCGGGCCGCCCGTTCGTCTTGGCCAGGGCGTACAGCGTGGCATACTGGCCCATCTGGTTCCCCAGGCGCCCTCTGGAATTGATGGTGAACATGCCCTCCTGGGCCAGGTATCTGGGGACCAGGGCCACACGGGCCGGGGAGGCCCAGGGGCTGGGCACCTGAGCCAGACGCTGGTGGCAGTGGAAGAGAGTGGACATCAGGAAGATGAAGATGAGGAAGCAGACAGAGGACCGGCAGGTGGCCCAGAATCTCAGGCCTGCTGTGGAGAGGAAAAAGGCAAATAAGACAGGAGAAACCCAATTCCCTCAAGTTTGAGGTAGGGATGATCAGGTGGAACCTTATAGAAGTGCCAACCCTGGATTGCATTTTACCAGCAGGAACAGTCATGTGTGTGGTCCAGCCCTTCAGAATTACCTCACAGGATTACAGAGGTAACTTCTGTAACATTCTTGGGATAGCAGGGTCAAGTGTCTGTAAGTTGAGTAGAATAAATCCTTCTAGGGTATCTATTCCTTCAGCCTTGCCCAGGGAGTGCAGTCTATGAGGGTGGCACAGTGTGAGCGGAGGATGAGAGCTCCAGGTCTGAGGCGGGACAGCCCAGGCTCTGCCTCCTGCTGGCTGGGCAATCCCTGGGCCTCAGCGTCCTCTTCCGTAAAATAGGGTTGACCTTAGCACCAGCCATGGAAAGGGCTAGGTGATAGTGGCAGTGGTGGACCCCACACAGTCTTTGGTGCTTTTTCTCTGGAATCGGGGCAGGCCTGTGGCTGCCATCCATTGGGCAGAAATGACCTGTGTCCTCTCTGGACCAAGGACAGGCCATTCCAGTGTGCCTCTGAGACATCCTCTCTGCGCTGCCATATGTGCAACTATAGTTTTTTATTTTAAAGAATTTTTAAAAATTTATGCATACAAGAACTGGGGTGCAGGCCAGAGGTGCAGGAGGTAAGAGGATTCACCAGAGACAGAGCGGGGAACAGAACAGGGAGACTGACTGAAATACACTGCTGAGGGGAGCAGCGGGAGAGGCAGGAGAGGTCTGCTGCACCATGTGGGTCACCTCCCTGGCTGGGGATGGAACTCATGCTGCAGTGGCTGGTGATAGCTTCATAGTGCTGTGACTTAAACCCTGCGCCACCAGGGAGGCCCTAGTTTATCTTTAGGCCTTCCGTGTACCCTTCTTTTTGGAAGGGGCACCCACAACATTTAGAGATGAATTTAAACGTCATACAATTCACTCATGTAACATCTACAAGTGAGTGGTTTTTAGTCTACTTAGCGCTGTGCCACCCTCAATGAATCCTGGGAGATGCTTATCACCCCCACCCCAAAGAAACCCTGCACCCCACCCCTCAGCTGTCCTTCCCCCAACCTTCCCATCCTCCCCACCGCCTCCCTCCAACAGGCCCATTTCTGTCTCCGTGGGTTGGTCTCTGTGTCTGCTTCACAGAAACGGATTCTGGCCTGGTGCTCTTGGGACTGGCTGGCTGCTTCCACACAGCTCAGTTTCCGGGCTCACCGCCCCGCAGCTCAGCTCAGTCCGCCACTGACCGCTCTGCCTGTCCCACTGACATTCCTTGTGTGGATGCCTCCTTCTGCCCATCAGTTTGTCGGATGGAAGACATTTGGGCCGGCTCTGCTTTCGGGCTGCGGCGAGCGTGGCTGCTGTGAGCAGTGTGCACAGATATCCTTGTGGACCTGTGGGCCCGTGAGTGGAACTGAGGATCTTGGGCACGTCTAGGCTCTGCAGCCCCAGGAACTGCAGGCCCCTGTCCATAGCAGCCACCTCCTTCCCTGCCCACCTACAGCACAGGCAGAGCCTGGCTCGTCTGTCTCCTGACAACCGTGCCTAGGTCTGCCTTTGTGGTCACAGTGGGTGCCAGTGGCACCTCAGCCTGGAGCCTACACACCGGAGGCCCACCCAGGTCATCTCCGCGTCCGGCCAGCTCCTCCGGGCTCTCATCAGTCTCCCCGTCCTGGTCAGGTGGGGTCGGCCCCTTCGAGGACTGCTTCCCTCTGAGTGTTCCCAGAAGTGGCCTTTTCAGTCTACGCTGGTCTCTGATGCCTCCTGTCCAAGCTTCTCCTCTCCTCTGCCCCAGTCTCCACCATCCATCTGTGGGTTTCCTGAGGCCAGTCCAGTGGCGGCAGCTCAGGAGTCCCAAGGCTCATGCAGAAGAGCTGCGTGGACCCTACTCTCCCTCGTCAGGCCTCCCCTCCAGGTCCCCACTTTCCCCTTCCCTTTCAACATCCGGGTTCTGTGGGCCTTGCCTCAGCTCTCCTCCTCCTCCATCCCAGAGTTCCTCACTTTATTCCTCTGCCCTCTTTGGGCGCCCCTTGAATGCGACATGTTTAACACAGGTCCCCAGGGAGGCCCGCTGGCTCTTGCCACCTGAGGACTTAGCACAACATCTCATTTCCTGTCCAAGGCGCACAAGAAAGGTCCTAATGCTTTAGTTTCTGAAGAGCAAATGCAGTCTGCCTCTGAGTGCCGCTTCTCACTGGGCTGGGAACAGTCCTGTGCCCACAGTTTTCATGTCGCCTGCCCAGCCCAGGTCCTGTCTGGGCTGCTGCATGAAGGACTTGGGCTTCAGTGTCTGGCCAGTTCACTCCACCCAGAGGAGCCCCAGGCAGGTCCCAGAGCTGGGGCAGGGCCTGGGCTACAGTGCTAAGTTCTATGTCACCAAGGTTAGAGTGACAGTTTGGCCTCTCCCAGAGAAGGAATTTTAAAACCGGTCTATGACGAAGTTGTGATCTTTGAGGTAACCTGCCTGCCAGACCCCTGTCCGCCCCTTGTCCCCACCAACCTGCCAGTTGTTACTTTAGCTTCCTTGTTCCTGCTTCCTTCAGCCCTAGAAACACCTTTCATTTCCTGCAGCGTTTGTGGCTCCTTTCTACCTGCTAGAGGGAGGAGAGGCTGCCTGATGCATGATCGACTGAGGAAAAGAGTAAGATCTTGAGCATTTGCTCAGTTGAATTTTGTCTTTTTTGACAGGACCGCCCTGCAGCGCCACCTCCGTGCAGTCCCATGAGGCACGCTCAAAAGGGCCCAGCGCTAGGTTTAATGCTCTGTTCTAGAAAGTCTCAATCCGTCTGAACAGGGCACCCACCAGGCCATTTTGCACTCAGCTGCTCTGTGAATCAAGCTCTGACCCTGCCTCGCTGCTCCCTCTGCTGGCCCTCCATGGCCTAACCAAGTGAAATGCCAAGAGCTAGATCCAGGCTGACCTTCCTCCCTTTCCTCCCGCCTCAGGCCAGGCTTCCCCTTCCGCTCCACAATTCTTTGTGGGCCGTCTTGCTAAAGACAGGAGTCTAACCCAAGCTGAATTGGTAGGCTTGGTTTCTGTTTGTGTGAGCGCCTGGGTGTTTTGCTGCAGAGACAAGGATGCTGCCCAGACTCCACCAGCGGGTGGGGAAGCCGTTTCCTAATATGTGGACTCGTTACCCACAATGCCAAAATATAGACAGAAGGTTCTAAAACACCTCTAGCCAAAAGAGTTCCTTTCAGACATGAGACTGTAGGTCTGTCTTTGCTCATTGAGTTCTCAAGAGAATGTGAGGAAAACAGTCTTTTAGGTTCATAAAACAGACAAGGAACCTAAGGCACAGAGATGTTAAGACACTAGCTTTAGGTCACACAGCAAGGAGAGAGGTGGAGGCTGGGTCTGCACCCAGGCAGTGTGGTTCTGAAATCTGAGCTCTCAATTACTGTCCTGGACTTTTCAAGACTGTCCTGAGGGAGCGCACTCTCCATCCAGTTCCACATGGGGTTGGGCCTGCCCTGCTCCATGGGGCCTCTGTAATTGCTGGGTTGTGGGGGTGGGGATAAAGAATCTCTGGAAGCCTGGAGCTGTGAGTCCTACTCTGCTGAGCTCACCTCAGAGTGGTACCACCCCTCAGAGGTCCTGGCTCTTTTCTAGAGCATTGTGAGGGTGAAGGTGGCCAATATTTTGAGGAACACTGTGCCACCCCCCACCCCCACTATCTTTCTGGCAAAAAGGAAAGTCTCCTTACAAGAAAAAAAATAGGATTTTTTCCCCCCTCAGCTGCAATAGCTCCTACCCCTCCACTCCCTGCTCCCTGCTCCCCAGGTATCTTTGGGTTTAATTGCCCCAGGGAGCTCAGGCTATTAAGAACATAAGTGAAGAATAGGGCCTCCCCTGGTGGCTCAGCAGTTGAGCACTGGGCTGTGAAGCTGCCCCCAGCCTTTGCAGCACCAGTTTGATCCCCGGCCACAGGGTCCCACATGGTGCACAGACCTCTCCTGCTGTTCCCTCTGCTCCCCTCAGCAGTGTACTTCGTCTGTCTGCCTGTTCTGTTCCCCACTATGGCTCTGGTGAATTCTCTCACCCTCCCATGCTTCTGACTGTACCCAGTGCTTGTATAAATAAATAAATAAATAAATATTTAAAAAAAAAAAAAAAAAAAAAAGGAAGTGAAGAACATCACTCCCCGCTGGGTATCATTAGCTTAAGAATCTTCTAGTCCCAGGAAGGGGCGGGGGGGATGGTGGGGAATACCGCCAGACAGAAACTTCCTTTCTGAATTTTCTCTGGCAATAAAACTAACCCCTGCTCTGGCTGTCCCCTCTGCCTAGGTCGCTCGCCAGGCTCATCCTTATCTCCCGACTCCTGCAGCATCCTGCACCCATGCACTTCCCTATCAGCTTATTTAATCACTTGTGACTTCTTTTGAGGCGATATCCCCTGGCTTTGCCCCACCAGCGCGGGGATCCTATATACCCCTCTGATTTGGGGGTGTCTCTCTGCCCCCCAATCCCTTTCTTTTGCTGTTAATTACTCCTCGTGGCTTATTTTCAAAGCCATGTCCCTGTCCTGGTTCTCACCAGGCTGGCCCCCCACCCCAATATGCAAGCAGAAGCCTTGGCTGTGCTCCCCTACACCCGCCCCCAACACACACACACACCCTCAAAGCTCCGGGCAGTGGGTCCCCAAGTGCTTGCCAGGATCGGTCCTTGTCTGAAAATACAAGCACTCAAGGCCACAGCAGCAAACATTGTGCCCCCTCCTCCCGCAGCCCTGGCTTTACTCAGCGAGAAGAGATGGAAAAACGTGATTTTTTTGAGTCAAAACTACTGGGGTGCGTGACAGATCTGACAGTGACATTCTTGTGAAAATTTCTTGATTGAGGTATTGACGGCCATGGGAAATGGGCCATGAGAAGACTAGCTTTGAGCTTCTCCCTAATGGGGATCCCAGCTTCCTCCCTGCAGCCCTGGAACTACGGAGGTCCTAGGAATTCTTGCCACCTCCTTCCTCACCATCTTAGGAAGTGCCCCCAAGCTATAAGCTTCCTGGGGAGGTGGGACCCTTCCAAGAGCAGAGTGTTACGGGGAGGGACTGACCTTAAAGCTCGGTTAAGTCACAGTCAATAGAAGGTTCCAGAAGGGTGAAGGGGCAGACTGGGGTCCCACAGCCAGTGGCCAAGTGCCACCTCAGTGTGAGCAGTCCCGACTGCCTGGGCAGGTCAGCCCCTGCCCGATCAGCAGCTGCTGGTGGGGGAGCTCGGAGCTGGGAGTGGGTGGGGCAGTGGTGTGAGTGCGAGCATGAGCCGAGTGGGATCCCAGACCCAGAAGCCCATCCGGCCCTTGTCCAGTCCTACCTGCCTTCATCCTCCTGGGCCAGGCTGCTTGGGGCTGTCTGGCTGCGGGCCCCCCGGGGGCTCCGGCTCTCAAGTCCCACCCGGTTGGGGGTGGTGTGACTGGCAGGGGTCCCTGCAGAGAGAGCAGGCTGCTGTTGGTGAGGGGATTGGGGGTGGGGGGGCGCCCTGGTGGTGTTGGATTCATCAGGCTCTGCTCAGAGCTCCCGCCCAGAACCCCCCAGGAGCCTGGGGCCTGAGAGCAGCCACTCGCCACGCACGCCCAGAGCCCACACTGCCGCCGGCTCCTGCGGGAGGGCAGGACTTGCTTCCACTCGAGGAACTGATTCCAGAGGACGCTCTCTTCTTGGGCACAGGTTTGGCCCAGTTTAGGGGTGAATGGTGGGTGGGGTGCATGCCCAAAAGCTGGGGAAAGGAGCCTGGTTCCCATGTGGACCCCCATGCTACCCAGGCACCGGGCCTCACTGTGGGTTTGGTGGGAGCACAGGCAGTTCTGCTTCTTAAAGGGGGCTTGGGGTAGAGGGGCTCCAGTCACCAGAAGGGCGGTGGCTGGGGCCACGTCTCTGGGTTCCCCAGTGGCAAGGGCTGACTTCTGGGTTCCCCAGGAAGGCTGGGAGACTCGGTCGAGTCAGCCAAGGCATTAAGGGCCAGAAAGTGGTGCCCCAAAGAGTCACTTAGGCTGGAAGGGAGGAGTGGGGATGGGGGCCGCTCACTAACCAGGGGGCCGCTCACTAATCAGGGTGGTGCTGAGGGCGCCTGGAAATGCCCGCCACGGGAGTGCAAAATGGCGCCCTGGGCTCCTGGGGAGGGGCGAGGGCTATGCCCTTCCTCTGGATCAGGAGGAGGCGGTCTCTGCACAGGGCAACTGCAGTGGGGACACCGGGGTCTGAGTGGTCAGCCTAGGGGAGTATGGGGCCCCACCTTGCACCCCCAGGTGCCTCATGCACTCCCAGTCCCCGGTGGGGCTGCGTTCCAGCTTCAGAGCCAGGGGCCTGGACACCGGGGACCAGAATGACGTGAGGCTCCCAGGCCTGAATGAGCTCCTTCTCAGGGCTGAGGCCCAAGGGGAGGGCCATTTCAGTGGCAGTCCTTCCTGGCTCCTGCCACCCCGGGTTCCGGTCTTCTGGCCCCCGTACGTCTGGGCTCCTGGCTCTCCCTGTCCTGCCTGCTTCGCTCCTCTCTCAACAGCTGCCACCCCCAGTATCTGTTCTTCTGTCTTCTCTGGGGACCTGTGAATGGGTACATAAAGTGGGGGCTCTGATCCCTAGGGAGAAGCCTAGAGTGGCAGGCAGGGGACTGAATTACGAGAAATCTAAGCACACAGCCCACCCACCTGAGTCTTCCAGCACCCGCTGCCCAGGCCCACAGGGACTCTGTACCCATTCCCCAGCCGTCCCCAGGCTCCCAGCACCCCCACATCCCTATCTGGTCCCTTAGCATGGCTCTCCGGGCTTTGTACCCGGGTGGGAAAGGGTTAAAGGCGGGTGGGGTTGGGGGTGGGTGGCAGGGAGGCTGGCTGTTTGGCGATAATCCCCTCCGTGCCCTGGGTGTGGAGAACAAGGTTAGGCCCCCACGTGGGAAAGGGCCTCGCTCTGATCCGGGTGGGCCGGGGCCTGGCCTCCAGCTTCTGATCCGCCGCCGGGCAACCCACTTAGCCCTTCCCCTCTGCCCCCCCACCCCCGCCCCACTCCCAGCCTGCCAGGCCCTGCTTTCTGCGTCTGTTCTCTTTCTGCTCCCCAGGGCGTCTCTGCGCCCACCTGCCTGATAGTCTGGACCCCATCCCCCCAAAGCCTGTGGACGCTGGGTGTGCGGCCTCTATTTGTCTCAGCCTCCCTGGCCACCCCTCTGGCATCATGGTTCCTTCCTTTGCCTGGCCCTGGCCCTGCTTGTGCTGCTTCTTCTCCCTTTGTCTGTCTTTGCTGTCTGGACTTTGGCCCTTTTTCTATTTCTTTGCGGCTGGTCTTCATCTGTCTCTACCTCCCCCTCCAGGGCCCAGGCCCGCTCTCCGCGCCCCCCCCCCCTTGTGTCCTCTCTAGGCTTCCCCAACTGTCCCCCAGGTCTCCCCAGGGCCCCCTGCCCCTCGACACTGAAGGAGAGCTCTGGGGTGTTAAGCTACGGATTAGTTCAGGCAAAATTCTCAATTTTGCTTGCGTTCTTTCCCCTCTGGGTTATGTAAACAGTAATTCTCCCCAGATGGAACTATTTTCCTCGCTTAGAAAAGCAGCCTGGGAGGGGGCCTGGCAGGGCTGGGGTGGAACGGGGTTCCTCAAGGAGCCTCGGAGAGGGGTGGAGCCTCCGCATGCAGCCCGACCCCAGCCACTGCTCTCCTCTGCAGGTATACTGGCCTCTGTTGGGACCATGCCCGTGACCTTTGCTCTCTTGCTCCTCCTGAGCCAGGCCACCGCTGACCCCTGTTACCATCCAGGGGGCCGCCCCCGCTTCTGCCTCCCACCAGTGACCCAGCTGGCAGGCCTGGTGGCCTCCTGTCCCCAGGCTTGCACCCTCTCCCTGGGGACAGACCCTGGTCTCCGGCCCACCTGCAATGGCAGCCTGACCCTGGCTCTGGGTGACCCCTTCCTCGTGACATCCGTCAGTCTGCGCTTCTGTACCCCAGGACCCCCAGCCCTTATCCTCTCTGCTGCCTGGGCCACCAGAGGTCCCTGGAGATCACTGTGGCGCAGACCCGCCTGGCCTGGGGCCTTGGGGGGCCCTGAGCGGGTGACCTTCCGAGTCCCTCCAGGCCCTAAGGCCAGCGTGGTGGCCAGTCACCTCCGTGTGGAGTTTGGGGGCCCAGCAGGGCTGGCGGCAGCTGGAGTGAGAGGCCGCTGCCAGTGCCATGGTCACGCAGCTCGCTGTGCTGCCCGTGCCCAGCCCCCCCGCTGCCGCTGCCGTCACCACACCACAGGCCCCGGGTGCGAGAGCTGCCGCCCTTCCCATCGCGACTGGCCCTGGCGGCCCGCCACGCCCCGGCACCCTCACCCTTGTCTGCGTGAGTCCTGGGCCCCGCTCTATGCCTCTCCCCACAATGGTGCTCCAGACCAGAGCTTTCCCATCTTCCAGCAGCCCCTTGTCGGGTCAGTCCTGCCTCTGCTCCCACCTCCAGCAGCAGCCCTTGGTGTAGGGGTCTACTGAGTCACCAGGTCCTAGAGGCAACTTTACTGCATGGACAGATAAGCGTGCACGCATGCGTGTGTACACACACACACACACACACACACACACACTCTGTTCCTCTCTCTCTCACACACACACACACACACTCTGTTCTTCTCTCTCCTCCCACACCCCTCCTCCTCCTCTACTTCCTGCAATGTCACAGTCACTAACTTGTACCCCAGCCCACTGCCTCCCCACTCTGTCCTCATTCCCATGGAGTCTTCTCTGGAGGCCACCATCCTCCTGGGGCCCCTGCCCCATCACCCTGGGGCCTCTCGGTTTGGTGGCCCATTCCCACAGCCAGATTGGATGCCCTGTAGGGAGGAGGGGAGACTCACGTGGCCTGCGGGTTGGGTGGGGTTCATCCTGGAGCTGGACAGGGTGTGGGGGTGGGGATCGCCGTCCCTCAGGGACCAGCACACGCCCTCTGCACCTGGGTAAGACGCCAGCAGAGTTGTGATGGGGAAGGGTCTGGGCAGATGGGGGAAGCTGTGGGCTTTGCAGACCTGGCAGTCTGAAGCCTTCCCCCCAACCTGGTTTCCAGAGGGGAAGTGGTTCTTCTTGGTCAGAAAGAATCCCAAGTGTGACTCTCCCCACAAATCTCAAGCTGAGTAGCACTGCCACCTTGGACGGACACCATCAACACCCTGGGGGAAACAGTCCTCACTGCAGGAGAAAACTGCAGCTCAGAGAGGGGGTTATTTTCTGCTGACTCAGGTCCCAGGCCTCCCCACGACTCCTCTGGGCTCTCAAGACCTCCCATTCTGGGCCTCTCAAACTTCTTGAGCCAAAAGTCTCCTCAAATCTCTCCAAAGAATGAACCCCCTAAGCACATCTCTCTCTGGACACTGGCTAGACAGACAGATCCCTGGGCCTAGCAGAAGCCTGCGGGTGAGCCAGAATCTGTGATGTTCTCAGATGTTCTAGGTGGTTCTAGCAGGTGGGAAGGCTTGAGAGCAGCCTGCTTAGAAAACCTGATCAGTGTTCTCCAGGAAAATGTGCTCACTATCTAATCCTCATTCGAGAACCATGAGAAACATGGCTGAGTGCAGCTTGCAGTCAGGAGGCCTCCCTCCCACCCGGCCCCTGCCCACCCTTAGCTGTATTACCTTGGGCAGGTGACTTCACCTCTCTGCGTCTCACTGTTTGTGTCTGTAAAATGGGGGTGTGGGTAGCCCATTTCACACAGTGCAGGGATGGCGAACCACTTCAAGGCCCCTGGCCTGGCCAGTGGAAGCTCTAAGCCAGCAGGCACATGGTGTGTCAGGCCCTGGGTCACTTTCTATTCAGTTTCATTTAAACCTCCTGAAGAGACGGTTATAAATGTCACTTGCAACAAAGGAAATGAGCTAAGGAAAGAAGGTACTTGCCCCAGGAACACAGACAAGACGTGCACTCAGGGTTCCGACCACACCCCAGACCTCTGCTTAAGCCCCCCCTCCGTCTCACATTCACTCAGGAGGCTCATCATTCCCCAGGGCTGACCCCACTTCAGGGCTGTGCACCCATGTTAAAGTTGAGGATGAAGAGGTTTTGGGACCCAGGCTGACCCAGGGCCCCCACAGCCTCTCACACTGTACCCCACTTCACTTCCTTTCCTGAGAGAGTGGGGAGAAAGCTGGGACCCTGGGAAGGGAAAGCCCAGGCCTGATGTGACCCCACTCCATTTTGCTCCCAGCCTGCTCCTGCAACCAGCATGCCCGCCGCTGCAGGTTCAACTCTGAGCTGTTTAGGCTGTCTGGGGGCCGGAGTGGGGGCATTTGTGAGAGGTGCCGGCACCACACAGCTGGGCGGCACTGCCACTACTGCCAGCCAGGCTTCTGGAGGGATCCTAGTCAGCCCATCACCAGCCCCAAGGCTTGCAGGGGTGAGTGCAACCTGAAGGCTGATTTAGGGAACAGGAGGCAGGACCAGAGACTGGGGTTTGGGGGAGGAAGGGGTGGAGCTTGGACTTCTGGCCTGAGGGAGGAGGGGCTGGGGGCCTAGACTGGGGTGGGGGACCCTGAGGGAGAAGGGGCTGGGGAATTGGGTGGGAGTACCTGAGGTCCAGCCACCCACATTCCCAGCTCCTCTCCTCACATAGCCTGCCAGTGCCACCCTATAGGGGCAATAGGAGGCACCTGCAATCAGACCAGCGGACAATGCTCCTGTAAGTTGGGGGTCACCGGCCTAACCTGCAATCGCTGTGGTCCTGGCTACCAGCAGAGCCGCTCCCCCAGGATGCCCTGCCAGAGTGAGTCCTGAGGCGGGGTCACAAGTCCTAAGGGGGCAGGAAGGAGGCATGCCAGGCCTGTGGGGGGTGGGGGGACTGTAGGTTGAGTGCTTGGTCCCTGAGACATGGCAGCATGAGGCTGGAGCCAAATTCTGGTTGGTTCAGTCCCACCCTTCCCAGGTGGGACTGAAATTCCGGACTCCTCAGTCTTGGGGAGAAAGAGGCTAGGGGCCTGGACTCTTGGGTCCGAGAGAGGAGCTTGGCCTGGACGCCTCTTCTAGGTCTGAGATAAGCAGCAGCCAGGGACCGGACTCCATATCTGGGAGAGGAGCGGGACAGTGTTTGCCTTAAGAGACTAGACACTTGGGGTTCAGATGCCTGGATTCCCTGGGGGAGGGGTGGGTGTGTGTGTGGGGTGGGGGGTGAGGTTCAGTTTCTCCCTTGGTCTCTCACAGGAATTCCAGAGGCAACCACCACCCTTGCCACAACCCCTGGTGCTTACAGCACTGGTAAGTCAGGGCTAGCTGGAGACCCCTGCTAGCAAAGGAGAGGGAAGGTGGGGTGACTGGGGTCCCAGGTAGGGGACACCAATGAAAATGGCCCGTTGAGCCCAGTGATGGCAGTTTGGGCCTCCCAGCTGATTTAGGGGATGGGCAGGGGCAGGGCTCTGCGGCCCAGGGCTCAGGAGCCCGCCACAGACAGCCTGACCCTCTCCAGACCCTCAGTGTCACAACTACTGCAATATCTCGGACACCAGGATACACATGAGCCTCCGGAGGTACTGCCAGCAGGACTATGGTGAGTGAGGGGAGAAAGGGCTGCACTCTAGATGACTCTGGCCTTCAGTTTTCTCATTTTACATGGGAAAAGATTTTGGACTCTGAAGGGCCCTTCCCAATCTGGAATCTAATGGGACAGAAGACAAATGGGGAGCAGGGGGTTTGGGGAGGGGTGTTCATTACCTTCCTGTATCTCCTGTTTCCTCATGTTCTTGCAGTTTCACTCTGTTGTGCTTCTGTGACGGAGGGAGGTAACCTCCTGGGGGTGGGAGAAAGGGGAACGGGAGAATGAAATGGGCCCTGCCCTCTCCTGCCCCTCTTGGACACTTTTATTCCACCTTCAGGGTCCCAGATATCTGAAACTTAGCCCCACTCCCACAGAGCCTCCCTAATTCCTCAGCCCACACCAGTGCCATGATCCCCAGACCTGTGAGCTCAGATATCTCAGCTCTCTCTGGAGGTCAGCCCAACCCATGAAGTCAAACCAAGCCGCTACTCCCCTCGATGGTACAGGATCCCGTGACCGCTCCTCCCTGTGGAGCATCATGTGGCGACTAGTGTCCTAGGCCTTGCATTGTGGAGCCTTCTCCCCACACCTCCCACTGAGGTCTGCTCCATAAACCCAGCTTGCTAGCCAGAGTCCTGCCCCCAACACATCTTACCTCACTTCCCTCAGTGGTACATTTTTCTGAATCACTATTAGTAGGACCTCAAATCTTGGGTTCTAGGGACTGGATGCCTTCTGGTCTCCCCCAATCTATCCCCAAATCCTACCTCCACAGCACCCCTCTTTTCTAAGGGCTCTGTTCCTAACATGTTCTGACCCTGCCATATTAAAGACCCCTGGGTCAGCATGTTCTGATTTCCACACACCTGCTCCCCATGGGTCCCCCTAGTCACTCCCACTTTAATTAAGTCCTGCTTCCATCAATTCTATTTATGATGACCCCCCCCCATGGCTCCTTTTTGTACCACCTGACAGATCTTAGGCTCCTGGGCCCCTCCTCTGGAGGAGACTCCCATTGTTCCCCTGTCCCAATCACAAGTCCCCACTTCACTCTCACAAGCCCACCGTCCTTCCCTTGACAATGTCTCCTCCAGCAGGCCCGTCCATCTGCACACCCTCAGAGGCCAGACTCTCAGCCTCTCACCCCCAAAGGTGCAAGGTCTGTCTCTTTACTGACACCAACCCGGAAGGCCACCCTCAGGTCCCCGGCCCTTCCCCGACAGGACTGACACCACCAGGATCCCCACCGCCCAGTCCTGACATTTCCCCTCCTGCAGTTCTCCGCGCCCAGGTGCTGGCATCCGAGGTGGCAGGCCCTGCGTGGTGGCGGCTGGCCTTGCGCGTAATGGCCGTGTACAAGCAGCGGGCGTGGCCCGTCCGCCGTGGCAGCCAGGACGTCTGGGTGCCAGGCGCCGACTTGGCCTGTGGCTGCTTGCGCCTGCGGCCCGGCGCCCACTACCTACTCTTGGGCAGCTCGGCCGGCGGTCCTGACCCCAGGCGCCTAGTCCTTGACCGCCATGGCCTGGCGCTACCCTGGAGGCCGAGCTGGGCCCAGCCGCTGCGGCGGTGGCAGCGGGAGGCGCACGCTGGAGGCTGCCGCGTGACACCAAGCCCGGAGCTGGAGCCGAAGCACCAAGGCCGCAGCTCGGCTGCCTCCAATGCCAGTCAAAGCACTTGGACGGGACCGTGAGCGCAGCCTGCTCACTCGATGGCGCGTCCGGGAGAGCCAGTTGGAGGGCGCAGAGCCCCGACGTCACGCTCATGCGCCAACATCCTGCCTCACCAGGGATAGTTAGCCAAAGGCTGCACACCTCAAGCAGGACCTTTGGTTCCTGACTAGGACAACTGGCCCGTTGAGCCATGTAGCTTTTTCCCCTCAATAAAGTCTTAAATCTTGAGGAATTTTGTCCACAGAGCCCTGGTTTGTGCTGACTGAGTCTCTGAGAGGCAAACGGAGGCCTTGAGTCAACCGCAGAGTCCAAGTATGGCAGTGCTCCCTGACAAATGGCCAGTCCAATGAAAGCGCAGATTCGTGCTGCCCGACGATCGGTCAAAAGCCTGAGGCATCAGGTGGCTAGAAAAAGCGGGGAATATACCAAAAGGAAGGATAGCACTACCAGGCTTCCAGAAAGTTCCAGATTTTGGACCGTTTGGTTCCTACTGAGGCTCAGGGTGGTCTCTGAGAAAAGAATATTCTTTTTTTAAAAAAACATTTATTTATTTTTATACAAGAATTGGGGTACAGGCCAGAGATGCGGGGGCGGGGGGGGGGTTTGAGAGGATTCACCAGAGACAGAGCCGGCAACAGAACAGGCAGATAGACCGAAGTACACGGCTGAGGGGAGCAGCCTGCGAGACAGGAGGGGTCTGTCCCGCCATGTGGGTTTCTCCCTGGCAAGCTGGGAATCGAACTCGTGCTGCAGTGGCTGTGGCTTGCTTCATAGGTTGTGTCTTAACCCCTGCGCCACCAAGGAGGCCCAAGAATAAAGATTCTTGAAGTAAATTTGAGAGTTATAACTGGCATTCACCTGGTTTTGAAGCATAGCCTTAACACTTTCCTGAGAGAATAGCCAATTTGGAGATACAGAGTGGAATGACAGCATTTGATGCAGAGCAAAACTCTATTCCCACTCAATAGTTGGTTAGCAACAGGCCAGAGGTGTGGGGCTAAAAAGGCAGGAAGCTGTAATAAGTGCTATGAAATGGAAGATTGTGGAGGCCTTGCACCTTTCTTGTTTCCCTGACCTCTGCTTCCTGTACTTATAATCAACAACACAGTTTTAAATTTGGGTGACCTTGGAAGAATCATTGAGAGAGTACTTTGTGGGAGTCTCAAAGGAAGGGATATGAGTTAAGGTCCATTTGGGTGGACAGAAAAATGGGCCTCAATGGGGAGTCAGAGCCTCATTGGGTACTGGGAAGAGAGATCTGTGCCCTGCAGGAAATAAGTGTTCTGGGTAAACTCCTGATAGGACTGAAAAAGGCAGTAAATAGCCTTTAGGCGGTGGCTGACCCTCAAGCTACCAATAACATCTTATATCTAGAGAAGCTTGCCTTTGGTGTCAGTTGGGTGGAGGCAACTCTGAAGCAGGACTTAGGAGTCTTCAAGGGATTTTATGAGAAGTGTTCTCTAGTCCATCAAAACTCTATTCCTTTGCTCTTTCCATCCTTTCTGGAAGCTAGTTCAATTAGGCATTGACTCCATCACTCTGCCCTCACATCCAGTCCAACAGCAAACTGTGTACTATTAAACATGTTCATAATTCTACCATTTTTACCATTTCCATTACCACCACCTTGGTCCAAGCCATCACCACTATTTGCCTCTTTTATTGCAGTAGTCTGCACACCACTCTCCCTGCTACCCTCTTACAGTCTTCTTCACTGGAGACAGGATAAGGGCTTTAAAACCTAAGCCAGGGCCTCCCTGGTGGTGCAGGGGTTAAAGACAGCGCTATCAAGCTATTGCCAGTCACTGCAGCATGAATTCAATCCCCAGCTGTCCAGGGAGCAACCCACATGGTGCAGCAGACCTCTCCTGTCTCCCCGCTGCTCCCCTCAACAGTGTATTTCAGTAGATCTGCCTGTTCTGCTCCCTGCTCTCTCTGGTGTATCCTCCTACCCCCCACACCTCTGGCTTACACCCCAGTTCTTGTTTGCATAAATAAATAAATCTCTAAAAAAAAAAAAAAACCTAACCCAGATCATGAAAGTAGTATGCTCAAAACTGTTGACTTCCCTTCTCTCTCAGAATAAAATCCAAAGTCTCTACTTTGCTCTACAAAGTCCCACGAGATCCACTCCTATCATGTAACTGACCTTACCTCCTGCAAGCTTCCTTCAAATAATAGCAAGCTAGTTCCATACTTCATTGAAGCTCTCCCTTAGTCAGGGGAGGCTAGCTCTGTTGATTTAACACAATGAAAGTTGATTCCTTGCTTAGGTATATGTCCCGAACAAGTCAGCAAGAAGTGGTTTTCCACAAAGTTGTACAAGGACCCAGGCTAAGAGGCATCTAACATCTTGCTACTACACCAATTGCATCTACTGGTATTCTTTTTTTTTTTTTTTTTTTTTTTTTTTTATATAGAGGCATGCTTTATTTATTTGTTTGCTGGTTTCTTTGTTTGTTTTGTTTCTACATGCACTGGGTACAGTCAGAAGCGCGGGAGGGCGAGAGAATTCACGAGAGCCAGAGCGGGGAGCAGAGCAGGCAGAAGGACCGAAGTACACTGCTGAGGGGAGCAGCGGGCGGCAGGAGAGGTCTGCGCGCCATGTGGGACCCTCCTTTGGTGGCCGGGGAGCAGCCGGGGATCGAACCGGCGCCGCAGAGGCCGCGCGCAGCTTCGCAACCCAGCGCTCAACCGCTGCGCCACCGGGGAGGCCCTCTACTGGTATTCTTGATCATTGTGACAGGGAAAGAGAGAGCACACAAGAAATTGATGGCTTGACTCAGGAGTGACTCTGGCCCTTCTACTCACAGCTCATTATTCAAGTGGTTCCACCCAATGGCATGAAGGAGGGGAAGAAACATCTGTATATATATGCGCTCAGAAACATCTGTATATTAGTTTTCTATTGCTGCCATAACCAATTACCACATATCTGACAGTTCTAAAGGTCAAGCACCCAATACTAGTTTTACAGAGCAAAAATCAAAATGTCAACAAGGCTAAATTGCTCCCAGCCTCTAGGAGAGAATGTCTCCTTCCCATTCTCAATTTCTAGAAGCCACCCACATTTCTTGGCTCATGATCCCTTCCACAGTCTTCAAAGCCAGCAGTGGCATATCAAGTCTCTTTCACACTTCAAATTTCTCCTGCCTCTTCTCCTGTCCTTACATCTTTTTCTGACTGCAGCTGGAAGAAGTTCTCAACTTTTAAATATCCATGTATCAAATGGGTCCCACTTAGATAATCCAGAATAATCTTTCCATCTCAAGTTAAAAAAATCACAGGCCTCCCTGGTAGCACAGGGGTTAAGTCTCAGTGCTATCAAGTTATTGCCAGCCACTGTGGCATGAGTTTGATCCCCAGACAGGGAACTGACCCACATGGCTCAGCAGAACCTCTCCTGTCTCACCCGCTGCTCCCCTCTGCAGTGTATTTCAGTAGATCCTCCTGTTCTGCTCCTGACTCTGTCTCTGGTGAATCCTCTCACCTTCCCACTCCTCTGGCCTACACTCCAGTTCTTGTATGCATAAATAAATAAATCTTAAAAAAAAAAAAAAGAAAGGTCCGGAGATAATCTATCAGGAACCTTCTAGTTTTCCTCTCCACCATGATCTGTTCTTGTGGTCCAAAACAGCAGCGAATGCTCCAGGCATCATATGAGTATCCAATCAGCAAGATGGAGAAGGCCAAATAAAAAGGCGAAAAAGCCCCAATAGTTGTCTTATAGGGATGTATTCCAAATGCTGCTACACAACCTCTCTGTTTTTATTGGCCAGAATTTAGTCACATGACCTGACCTAGCTGCAAGTGGGGGCGGCTATATTGTCTTTAATTTTGGACTGTCTTGGATCCAGTTAAACAGGGTGTTTTGGTAGCAAGGAAAAAGAAGAAAAAGCCATGAAGGTGGAAATTAGCTGATCTGCCTTGATGTCAGACCCTCAGCCAATCAGAATCCAGAGTAAACTATGACATCATGAGATGCTTAGCAGAGCAGCCTTATAGGCTTTCTAGGAATAGAGAGGCTGAGACTGGAAATAGTTAATGTCTTGGCCATGGCATTCCCTTCCACCTCCTGCAGCCCTGACCTTGGATTTATGTGTGTTTTGTTCAATGCTTTTACTCCAGGCACTAGGACATAATATGTACTCAATAAATATTTATTGAATAAATAGGTGTTATTATTTATTCATTATTTTTGAATATTATTTTGACTACCATTATTGAATAATAGTTGTTATTATGTCCATTACACAGATGAAGAAACAGATGGGGGCTCTACTTCAAGGTGGGGACAGAGATTCAAACTCAGTTTGGGGGGCCTCCCTGGTGGTGCAGGGGCTAAAGACACTGTGCTGTCAAGCTACTGGCAGCCACTGCAACATGAATTCGATCCCCGACCAGGATCTATCTCATCTGCTGCTTCCCTCAGCAGTTTATTTCAGTAGATCTGCCTGTTCTGCTCCCCACTCTACCGCTGGTGAATCCTCTTGCCCCTCCCCCCCACCTCTGGCCTACACCCCAGTTTTGGTATGTATGCATACATAAAAACAAATCTTTAAAAAAAGAAAAGAAACTTAGTTTGGGTTGGGCCAGAATACTTAATCACCTTTTCAGTAAAGAAACTGCCACTCAGAGAGACAGGGAGACTTAGCAACAGACACAACAAGATATTCAGATCTTGTTCTCTAGTGCTGAGCTGCCAATACTGTAACTACTGGCTGCAAGAACTATTTGAATTTAAATTGATTAATATGGAAACAAATATAAAGTTTCTCATTTGCGTTACACATTTCAAGTATATCGAACAGAGCAGATATAGACATTTCCACCACGGTAGAAAGTTCTATAGGATGGTACTGCTCAAACATGAGGAATCAGGGGCCTCCATGGTGGTACAAGGAGTTAAGACAAAACCTATGAAACTATCTGCAGCCGCTACAGCACGAGTTCGATGCCCAGCCAGGGAGCCACTCACATGGCGCAGCAGGACTCTCCTGACTGGCCCGCTGCTCCCCTCAGCAGTGAATTTTGGTCGATCTGCCTGTTCTGTTCCCCACTCTGTCTCTGGTGAATCCTCTCACCTCCCCCCTGCTGCACCTCTGGCCTATACCCCAGTTCTTACATGCAACTTACATCTTACATCCATTTGCAACTTACAGTTCATAAATAAATAAATCTTAAAAAAAATTAAAAAAAAAAAAAAAGAATGAGGAATCAAGTCAAGGAACAGTCTCCAGAGAGCTCTGGGGAAACTGTCCAAATTCTAAGCCTCACCAGGAGAATTTTACGCACTCTGCAAGGAAAACATTTTACATTTTTAAGGATTGATATAGGGAACAAATTTTCCCTATACATTTTTACATTTTCAAGGATTTGTCTGGGCAATTATCGGGTTAATGTATCTATCCAATGTTGTCTACATATTGAGGAAAACAAGGAAGTTTGTTAATATTTACCCTGCCTCTTTAGAGCCTTGTCTCCTGGGGACTGGGAGTTTTAGCAATGCCATAAGCCTTAAAGTCTGTCTTTATTTGAGGGTACTGATTTGCCCAGTGGAAGCTTTTTTCTTACTGTTGATGCAGCTTCTTCACAAAACCAGTCCACAGCTGTGTCTGGGCATTTTTTTCTTTGTACCTCTTAGCTGAAACCAGGGTGAGAGGTATCCTTTTAATTGTTAACTGTAGTTCACAAGGGCATTTTCAAGAAGAATCTGAATTCTGGAGTCAGATTGCCTGCCTGGATTCAAATCCCTCTGTGTCCCTTAATTCTCTCATCTGTAAACTGGGGATGATGATGTGGATGATAACAATAGGAAGTAACCCACAGGACCTATTATGAGGATTAAAGGAGTTATTGTGTATATGGACGGGGTTGAGAACACTGTCTGGCACAGAGTTAGGGTCATTTAAGTTTGCTGTTATTGGACAAATCTCCATGGGAAGAGACAGAGCACTGAAGGAGAACAGAGACCAGGAAGATTTTGCTGGGCTCCCAGAAGGAGTGGGAGTTGGCAGCAGGGACAGCAGGTTAAGGAGGCCAAGAGGGCTATGGGAACCAGCCAGGCCTGGAGAGTCCAGGCCCTGTTGTCTCCCACCCAGGGGCCAGGGAGGTAGGAGATGAAAGTGAAGAGCGTGGCAAGCCCCATATGTTCCTTAGGACCCAAACTTTGTTTCTAGTGCCCGAGACAAATAGGCATGAAATTCACATCTGGGACCCACCTCCGGCCTGGCTGTGGCCTCTGCCTCTGGGCACCAAGCCCAGTCTGTGCTCTTTAATGGAGGCAGCACAGGTGGCTTCCAGAGCCCAGGGGAGGACCTTGTCCACCTCAGAACTGCCGACAGCTTCCTGGAAGAGCAGACTCCTGAAGCACACAGGAGTCCAAATAGGAATTTGTCCAGCAGGAAAGGGGGCGGGGGATGGGGGAGAGAAAGCCTCAGTTAGAGGGGCTTGTGCCCTTCTAATTCCGGGCCTTGTACAAAGGTCCAGAGTCCAGAGGGCCTTGAGTAATAAGAGAGTATTATAGAAAACCCAAGTGATTCCCAGGAGGCATATGGCAGGGGACCAGAATCTCTAGGGAAAGACAGCAGGAGCTTCATCTCATTCAGTCATGCCTGATTTCTCTCCTCAGGACAGCTAAGTGCCTGCCTGCATGGGGCAATGCTGGTGGCTCAGAGATGGGCTGTCCTCGCGGGAGGATACACAAGGACACAATGCCTTACTAGTAAGATCAATGGGCCAATGAAGGCGGCACAGGGCATTGAAAACTTCCCCAGATGACTGAAGCCCTGGCCAAGGACTTAACCGGGCAGGAGCCCCTGAGCCAGAGCCCTCCAACTAAATGACTCCCAAATTCCTAACCCTGACAAACCTTGAGGGTTTGGCTTGTTGCATTACACCATTATGCTTTTTGTAATCTGTTGCACAGCAGTGGACAATTAAACACACAACTTTCTTGTGTTTTCTGTGTGTCCATCTCTGTTTGACATCCCCTGGGCGCCGCCACCCCCATGTCTAGAAGCTTGAATGTCCATTTGCAACTGTCTGTCTCTGGATGCGTCTGTAGTTTCTCCCTTGATGTCAGCTGGCGTCTCTCTGGGTCTCTCTGCCACTGCTCTCCCTCTCGATGGAGATCTTTCTCTGCATGAATGTCTCTATTTATAGATGCTCGCGCGCACGCCTCTCCGCGTCCCGGGCTCTCGGCGTCTCCCCTCCAGCTCTCAGTGCGCTCGCGTCGGCCCCTCCGGCCCCCCATCTCTTGACCCGCCCGCGGGCCCGCCCAGACTCCCGCCCTCTGGGGCTCCCGGTCCCCTCCGCCGCTGCAGTTCTCCGACCTCACCTCTGGCTCTCGCGCGCCCCGACTTTCCCAGCCGCTCCTCCCTCCTCCTCGCTGTCTGTCTCTCTCTCCAGGCCTCTGCTTCCCTCTCCTGGCCAGCCGCTCTCACCGCACCCCGGTCTCCCAGGGGATCCCTCAGCCGCGTTAAGGCAGCTCCCTGCGGGGACCCGGCAGAGCACTGGATGGGGGCTGCAGGCGCTAGTGGGGTTCCCACCCGGCCTCGCGGAGCCGGGGCTCCCCGGACCTTCGGCGCCAGCATCCCTGCGCGCGGAGACCTCCCAGCGCGCTCCCAGCGCCACCTTAAGCGCCCCCCCTTCCTCTCCAGCGGAGGATGGGCCCCGCCGGCTCCGGCCCCAGGTGTCGGGCCACCCCGCCCCCACGGCCCCGGCGCCGCCGGGAGCGGGGTCCAGCCCCCCGGAGCCTCCATCCCGCCCCGGGCCACCCCGCCGCCGCCACACACGCCAGGCTCAGGAGTTTTAGTGCTGCCAGAGCACCGCCCCCTCCCCAACAGCCACGACCAAAAAAATTAAATAACACCAAGAGAGGAGGAAAGAGAGGAGGGAGGAGGGAGGAGGGACAGAGGAACACGGAGAAGAGGCAGAAGGGGGGGGAGAGAGGGAGAGAGAGAGAGAGGGAGAGGCTGGGAGCGGAGGAGGAAAGAGGGAGACGGAGCAGGTGGAGAAGCGGAGTAGGGAGGAGGGCAGGGGGCGGTGGGGAGGAGGCGGGGAGCAGCATGGAGACATGGAGTTAGGGGGCTCGGGGGAGCTTAGTGAAGAGGGCGCGGAGAGGGGGTTGTGGCTAGAAGCCGAGAGGTAACCCGAGGGAGCAGCAGCAGGCAGGGAGAGGAGGAGGAGGGTTGGGAGGCAGAGGGAGGCCGGGGAAAGAGAGGGGCCGAGGGGGAGTGGAGAGGGTCTTGGGGAGCTGTCGGTCCCAGCTGCCAGAGTGTTGAGGGAACAGGGACTCCCTGGGGAGGAGAGCGAGGCGGGCCGTCCTGGAGGGACGGGTCCCACCGAGAGGGGAGAGAGGAGCTAAGAGTGGTGACAAGGGGTGCAGGGCTTCAGGCAGGGATCTTTAGAGGCCCCCAGGGGATGGGGGGTGCAGTTCGTTTGAGCGTCCCTGGAGCGCTGGTACTCTGGGCTGCAATGGGGGCGGCAGGTAAGGCCTGGGGGGGGGGGGCGGGCAGGGAGTGGGTTGGGGCAGGAGAGGTGGGGGGGATGCCAAGGAAAGGGGTTCAGGTTACTCTCTCCCCAGCTCACATTGGACCAGCACCTGACCCCGAGGACTGGTGGAGCTACAAGGATAATCTCCAGGGAAACTTCGTGCCAGGTGCAGCCCGGGTGGGGACCCAGGAGTCCAGGACACGGGGGGCCTCCTCGCTCAGACCCAGGAACCTTTCCTCCTCCCCACCCCAGGACCCAGGAGTCCCAGGCCCTTCCTCCCTCCCGCGGGACTGGGCCCAGCCTCTGAACCCCAGCGGCTCACCACGGGACATTATACATGCGCATTTCAAGTAGTGAGTGGGAGTAGAGGAAGGAAAGAGCGTGGGGGTGGAAGATGGAGCTTGTGTGTGCCTTTGCAGGGAAAAAAGCAGGTAGATCCCGGGCTCCTGCTGAGAAAGAGGCTCAGTGACCCCGCCCCCCAATTTCTCCAGCATTCTCTTGGCAACTCCTCTCTCCAAAGCATTCATTATCCAGCTGTGGGACAAGGGAGACTGAAAGAACTACAACTCCCATGGGCTCTGGCACAGGCAGGCAGTGGATGGGGAGGCTGGCAGCTCTGGGGCCTGCTGGGACTTGTAGTTCCGTCTCCAATGGCTTAGGTCTGATCAAAGAGCGGCTTGGAGGTGTTAGAGGGTCTTAGAAAATTCCTCCAAGGTTCTCCTAGGACCTGAACTTTGAATCCAAGCCCCTTCCTCACTCAGACCCCAAAGACCAGGTGCCCAGCCCTTGCTCTTCTGAGATCTAGAAATGCAGACCATAGCCTTCTTAGCAGGTCCCAGCATTGGGGTCCAGCTCCTATTTCTGACACCCTTTCCTCCCTGCCACACCTCTGCCCCCCAGGGCCGCCCTTCTGGGGCCTGGTGAATGCAGCCTGGAGTTTGTGTGCCGTGGGGAAGCGGCAGAGCCCCGTGGATGTAGAGCTGAAGAGGGTCCTTTATGACCCCTTTCTGCCCCCACTGAGGCTCAGCACTGGGGGAGAAAAGGTAAGAGGCTTGGTGGGATTTGGGGTTACCAAAACCACTGGGGATGGGCATGAGTGGGGATCGGGAGTGGGGTGCTGAGGTGGGAGGTCAACCTTGGAGGAGGAAGGGTACGCACTGGATGGGGAATGGCTTCTTTCACTTTAAAAATGGATCACCTGTTCTTCCTTTCCCAAATATGGCTCCCTAGTGTCCCTACCTTTGTAGAAACAATGATCAAACAGATCATTTTCCCTTGCCAGGCACTTTTAAAAGTCTGATCTCTATCCTCTGTCCTCACAGCACCCCCTTGAAATAGGCGCTATTATTTTATGGATGTAGAACCCCAGGCACAGACAGGTTAAGTTACTTGCTGAGGCCACAGCTAGAGAGTGCCAGCACTGGGGTTCAATCGCAGGCAGTGTGGTACCACTATTCTTGCTCTGGCCCACTGTGCAAAACCATTTTTTGTAAAAGCCCACACCACTCTTTATTCAGCTCCCCCAGCCTGAAGGCAGAGATCTCTACCCTGTCCTGTGCCTTCCCTTGCTCGCATTTCCAATCCATGTCCTTTCTATTCTCCCTGCTAAATACCATTCAGATCTTTCCAAATTCTCACCGCCATCCTCTTGTACTGCAAGAGGATGTCATGGCTTCTTCACAGGTCTGCCTCTTTCCTCCTGCAATCCATTCACCACCCCCCAGTCAGAGAGATGTTTAAAAACACGAACTAGATCTTACCACTCCCCTGCTCAAAATGTTTCCATTAGGTTAAATAATAATAGTAAACATTAGTGTGGCATTTACATGTGTGTCAGCAATAGCTCGGAGCAATCTCCCTCTCTCTCTATATATGTATACATATACACTTAATTATTTAAATAAAAATACAAAACACCCATCCTTCCCCCACTAGATCCTGCACCATCTGGCTCCAGCATCACTCCTTTGTTCACTGGGTGCTGTTCTCACTGGCCTCTTAGCTGTCACTAAAACAGACCATTCCAGGACCTTTGTACTTGCTATTACAACTTACCTCCCTGAATGCCCTTCTCCCTGCTCTTGCAACTAACCCTGACATAATATCCTTCAAGTCTCCATTCAAATGGCACTTCCTCATGGAAGTCTTTCTGAGCTCACTGCTGCCCTCCACCCCCCCAACCTCACACTCCCAATCTAGGCCAGGTTTTCCATTGCATTTTCTCAGAGCTGCCAGTTCTTCCCAGTAGGAGCTGGATGTTGTTAATTCAGCAGTTACTGATGTGATTTAGTATTTATTGTCTCCTCCATTAGAACATAAGCTCCATGGGGCCCAGGATTTCTGTCTACTTGCTCATTGCTCTCTTACTGACCTCCATGGCACAGAATAACAGTTTAATATATATATATATAATATAAATATATAAAAAAATATATAATAGTTTAATTAAATGGATTCGCCAATAATGAGCACTTGCCACAGACCAGCACAGAGTGTGGAAGGTGCTGGTGTCCAAACTGCAGGGAGATGAAGTGATTGTTGGCAGTGTGAAAGGGGGGAGGGGAAAACAGGAGGAAAGAAATCTTTCCATGTCCCAGTGACAGCTTCCACCTCTCCCACAGCTCCGGGGAACCCTGTACAACACTGGTCGCCATGTCTCCTTCCTGCCTGCCTCCCGGCCTGTGGTCAATGTGTCTGGGGGTCCCCTCCTTTATAGCCACCGACTCAGTGAACTGCGGCTACTATTTGGAGCACGTGATGGGGCTGGCTCTGAGCACCAGATCAACCACCAGGGTTTCTCTGCTGAGGTAGTGGCCATGGACCTCTGACCCTTGACTTTTGCCCTAAGTCAACCCAACTCTTCCTCACCCTCCTCTTTTTTTTTTTTTAAAGATTTATTTATTTATTTATGCAAGCACTGGGTACAGTCAGAACTGCGGGAGGGTGAGAGGATTCACCAGAGCGGGGAGCAGAACAGGCAGACTGAGGAAGTACACTGCTGAGGGGAGCAGCGGGCGGCAGGAGAGGTCTGCGCGCCATGTGGGACCCTCCTCCGGTGGCCGGGGAGCAACCGGGGATCGAACCGGCGCTGCAGAGGCTGCGGGCAGCTTCGCAGCCCAGCGCTCAACTGCTACGCCACCAGGGGAGGCCCCTCACCCTCCTCTTAAGGCCTCACCCCCATTGTCCTCCATAGCACTGCCCGCCCCCACTAATCCTTGACCTGACTTGGGACCCTCCAAAAGCCCTTCTCTCCTTCCCTTCTGCTGGGGGACCCCCACTCTTTGTGCTCCCCTCAGGTGCAGCTCATCCATTTCAACCAAGAACTCTATGGGAACTTCAGCGCCGCTTCCCGGAGCCCCAATGGCCTGGCTATTCTCAGCCTCTTTGTCAATGTGAGCCCAGGCAAGATTCAGAGGGTGGGAGGTTCTGGGTACTGGGAATCTGGGGTCTGAGGAAGAGCAAGGCTGGGAGGCCCAGATGCCAGGGTTCTGGCGGGGGAGGAAGGGATTGGGGGCTTGAACTTGTGGGCTCCGGCTTCTTCATGTCGTCCTCCAATACAGGTGGCTGGCAGCTCAAACCCATTCCTCAGCCGCCTCCTTAACCGTGACACCATCACCCGCATCTCTTATAAGAGTAAGTCCCTGCTGGGTTGTCGGGAAGGGCACATGAAGCATCCCTGTTCACTCTGGCCTGGTATTCCCACAGACGATGCCTACTTTCTTCAAGACCTGAGCCTGGAGCTCCTGTTTCCCGAATCCTTTGGCTTCATCACCTATCAGGGCTCTCTCAGCACCCCGCCCTGCTCAGAGACCGTCACCTGGATCCTCATTGACCGGGCCCTCAATATCACTTCCCTCCAGGTGACACCTGTGTGCCCCCACCTCCTGGCTTGGTCAACAGGCCTGGGGATCTTTTTGCCTTACCTACCCTCCTTCCCCCACACTGACCCCACTCGAGGGGCAAAGAGGGTCACCCTGGAAGGTGGGAGGAATCTGAGCAAGGCTCTGCCCAGACGCCCCAGGGGCAGGACTCCAGGACCTTGCATTATTCACTCCCAGTTTCCCACCCCCCTTCCCTGGCAGATGCACTCCCTGAGACTCCTGAGCCAGAATCCTCCATCCCAGATCTTCCAGAGTCTCAGCGGTAACGGCAGGCCCCTGCAGCCCTTGGCTCACAGGGCTTTGAGGGGCAACAGGGATCCCAGGCACCCCGAGAGGCGCTGCCGAGGCCCCAACTACCGCCTGCATGGTATGGTCCAGTCGGAATCCCTTCCACGTCTTGGTCTAAGCCGCCTGTGTGTCTCCCCTTGATGTCTCAATACCATACAGTCCGACCCCTTCCCTCCCCGCCTCACTTGCTGCTTCTGCACTTGCTGCTTCCAGCCTCCTGGGTCCTCACTGCTTCTTTCTCCCTTATCCCCGGGTCAACGCGGTTCAGTCCACCTCCCCGCCTTAGGTCATTGCTGGTCCTTGATTTGCCTTTCCTCTTCGCTGCTTACAACTTTCAACTTGGAGTATAACCCGAACCCCCTGACTTTCTCCTTGCTATTGTTATGACGTTATGGTACAGTCCGTGCCGGTTCCTTGTTGCCATGGGTACAACCCTATGCTGCCCCCGCCCCCCTTACTGAGAATCAACTTGGTACAACGTCCTTCCCACCCTCCTGCCTCCTGTGATTCCGCCCAGGGATCTAAGCCACCTCTCCGGCTTCTCCACTTGGTACAGCCCAGGCAGCACCCCGCCCCACGCCGCCTCCCGGAATAACTTCACTTGGTTCAGCCCGATGCTGTCACCCGATGTCCCTATTCCACCCTCCTGCGGCCTCTCTATGGTTCAGTCCAGGGCCATCCCGAATTCATTGCTCCCTCCCCCGTTTCTCATCCTAGTACATTCCGGCTCCCCCTTTGCAGCCTCCCTTGGTCGCGCCCTACGCGGCCCAGCTCCCGCCCCCTGCACGCCCCTTGCATCCCCCCTGCACGGCCCATCCTCTCGGGCCTACATTAACGCGCCCCCTCCAGCCACCGCAGCGGTGTCTTCTATCTTACAGTGGATGGAACCCCTCAAGGTCGCTGAGACGCCCCATCGAGGACTGCGCCTGCTCTTCCCAAGCCTACCCACAGGGGAGGGGACTCACCCCCAAAACAAAGCTATTAAAGGGACCGAATACTCCCTGTTTCTCAGTGGTCTGATTCTAGGCGCGGCGGGGAAGCATTAGGGGATTAAGAATAGCAGCTTTCTTCTGGAAGCCAGTCTCCCACATCCTAAACCGCACGACTGGGATTTTTAGCCTCCTGTTACCCACAACAATCATTTGGGTACGCGGCTCCTTTAAGCGGCGTTACCCTCCCCCCGCCCCCCCCCCGCCCATACCCACCCTCCGCGTCAGGCAGCACGCGCTGAGCCATGTGCTTCCCCCTCCCGCCTGCCTCATTGGCCCGAACTGGGTCACTGTCCCGCCCCCAGCGCCTGCTCCCATTGGGCAAATGTAGGTCAGGGTCCCGCCTCCCTCCCAAAGACTAGGCAACTTCTCGCATAGCCCCTCACGCGCCCTCCCGGGCTTTGGCGGATCCAGGGGTCCCATTGGCTGTGTGTCTCGAGGGGTCGAGACGCGATTGGCCGGCGCTTTCAACCTAGGCACGCGGCTGGGGTGCAGGGCCCTAGAGGCGGGCGGGGCAGGGTGAGTGCGGGAGGGGACCGAGGGGAGGGGTGCGCGCTGTGGCGTCGGGTGTTTTGGTTTGGCTTTTTTTTTTTTTTTTTCCGCGAAAGAAGTTTGCTTTGGCCACGCCTCAAGGCGGCCGCCTCCTCCTGCCCCCCTCCCCCGCCCCTTTGAGCACACCTCTTGGTGCAGATTGCAAAGCGCCTTCGGTGGAGAGAGCTGCAGATATTGCAAGAGCCAGGCTCGCCCACCTGGTGAAGAAGCGCCTAATATTCCCTTGAACCTTCGTTGCAAAGAGCCGATCGCCTGATTTGATCACCCCCTCACCCAAGACTGCATGATATACGGGGACCCTCTTGAGTTGCACGTTTCTGCGCGGAGGACTCCAAATCCCCGTCGCTCCCAGGACTGGCGGTGTGCTGATACTGGAGGTTTGCAAGATCCGCTCGCCCGGCCCTGGGCAAACACTCGCCAGAACCACAGAAGTGTACCGCTGACCGACCGGCCAGCCCTTCGCTGCTCCATGTACCCGTGAGCCGGCGGGCAGGTGCCCGACCATGGCGCGGCCCGTGAGCGACAGGACCCCGGCCCCCCTGCTGCTGGGCGGCCCCGCCGGGGCCCCCCCTGGAGGAGGGGCGCTGCTTGGGCTGCGGAGCCTGCTGCAGGGGACCAGCAAGCCCAAAGAGCCAGCCAGCTGTGAGTTCTAGCCCTCACCTCGCCCGGCTCAGACCTCCCCTCACTCCCTTCGGGATTTAAGTACTAGGAGGGGAGGGGGGTATCCACAGCGCCCTCCTCCGTGCCGAGAGTTACATTTCCCAACCTTTATCTACCCGATCACTCCGGTGAGTAGGCCTCTAGCTCTCCCAGCTCCCAGCACACCAGGGTACTTGGTTCTCAAGCCCGTTTACCCCAAGGTCCCAGGAACCCAGGTTCCCTCTTCCTCCTCCCTCAGGACCCCGGAGGCTCGGTATCCGCCCCCTCTTCGGTGATTCCATCAGTCTGGACCCCCGATGTCCAGGGAGGAGGGAGGGGGCGTGTCGGATGCTCACACGGTGGTGACACGGGCCTAGGCGGGGCCTCCTGGGGTCACATGGCGTCGAGGGATGAGGAATGTGCCCCAGGAATAGAGCCCCTTCCTGCCCCTTATCGAGTGTGGGGGCGGGGAAAAGGGGTACAGTGCGCAGGGAGTGGGGGGGTAGGTTACAGAGGAATTACAGAGCTGTCATTTTTTCTCTCACCTGTCCAACCCTCCACCTCCCCTGTGTCTGAACTTCCGTCCCCCTCCATGTCAATGTCCCTTCCCGGGTCTCTACCCCCCTCTCTCTGCGCTGCCCTCCTCTCTCTGCATCTCTGTCCTCTCCTCTTTCTGAGTCGCTGTCCCTCTCTCGGTCTCTGACTCCCCTGTCCCTTTACTTTTGCTCTGGGTCTCTCTCTCTGGGTCCTTGCCTTCCCTCTTTGGTCTCTCTCCTGCGGTCTGTCCCCTCTTTCTCTGGATCTCCGTCGTGTGGGTCTCCAACCTCCCCCCCCCCCGCCCCGTCTGACTCGGGGTCTTCTCTCCCTGTCTCTCTTCCTCTCCCTCTCCACTCTGCCCGGTCTTTCCCTGGCCCGCAGGTCTCCTGAAGGAAAAGGAGCGCAAGGCGGCTCCGCCCGCAGCCACGGTCTCCGGGCCGGGCCTGGAGACGGCGGGCCCCGCGGATGCCCCAGCTGGGGCGGTGGTGGGCGGCGGGTCCCCGCGGGGGCGCCCAGGGGCCGCGCCCGGCCCGGCTCTGTTGGCGCCGCTGCTGTGGGAGCGGACGCTGCCTTTCGGCGACGTGGAGTACGTGGACCTGGACGCCTTCCTGCTGGAGCACGGGCTCCCGCCCAGCCCGCCGCCCCCCGGCGGCCCGTCACCGGCGCCCTCGCCCGTGCGCACGCCCGCACCCTCCCCGGGGCCCGGCTCCTGCAGCTCGGCTTCCCCCCGCTCCTCGCCGGGGCACGCCCCGGCTCGGGCTGCCCTCGGGGCCGCCGGCGGCCACCGCGCAGGTGCGGCGGCGGGGGCGGGGCAGGACCCTGGCGGGGCGGGGCCTAGCCGCCAGGGGCGGGGCCTAGCCGCCAGGGGGCGGGGCCTGCGGCCCGGGGGCCGGGACGTTGGGACGGGGCTGGGCGCCCAAATTCGGGGTCTCCCTAATGGATCAAGAGCTGGGTCTTTGGCTTCATAGGAGAGGAGGGACTTGGGACCCCACATTCCAGCAGCCTGCCCAGTGGGGAGGTGGCGTGGACTTTCTCTGTGGGACGTGGGGGCAAAGGGTCCGGACGCTGGCAGAACCGGGACTGGGAGCCCCTAACATCGGGGTTTTTTACCGGGGAGTGGACTGGGCCCCACGATGCCGGCCTGGAATCGGCGGCGCTGGACAGGCTTGGAACTCCTAGGCCTCCTCCAGGGAACAAGGCGCGCCCTGACAGACGTGGGCCCTCCCCGAGCGGAAGGGACGGCAGCCCCGGTGGCCGGGTCCTCGCGGAGGCTGGGGTCCTGGAGTCCTCCGCGGGGGAGACGCCCCGACATCTGTGTCCAGGGTCTTTCACCGGAGCTAGGGCCCACCTTCTTCTATTCCTGGGAGAGGAGGGGCTCGGGAGCCCAGAATCGCATGTGCCCTGGTGGCGTGGGGCTGGGACCCCGGTCGAGAACCTTCTGCGGTGTTCCCCGGAGAGCGGGGGGGGGGGGGGGGGGGCTGGACCCATAAAGAGATTTGATCTGAGGGGCCCGGGGGAGCCAGACCAAAGATGTGCTCCTCGAGCACCTTCGGGTCTCCCGGGGCGGACTGCAAGTCCGGAATTCCTGGTCTTGGATGCCCGGGGGTCGGCCCTTGGGGGAGAACCGGAGCCCCACACTCCCCAGCCGCACATTCCCGCGCCACGTGAGTCCTCGCCGCCCTCCTCAGTGCTTGGCGCTCTGCGCACGCGCGGTCACGAGGAAGGGGGCGGGGCCTGGGGGAACGTGCGGGCGCCGGGGGTGGGGGCAGGAAAAAAAAAAAAAAGCCGGCGCCGGCACGTGACTCGGCCCTGAACCTGTGTCCTCAGCTGGCCCCGGCTTGCTCGCTCTTAAAGGCACAGGCCGCTACTGTTACTGAACTCATCTGAAACCACAGAGCCATTTCCTCTTCTCTCTCCTAAATTTTGGAAGCTAGTAGGTCTTAAGGGTCTAACTTGAAATTTTTTCAGTGTGGTAAATTCTTTTTCCCTGAAAGCCTCGGGTCTAGACTTTGGCCCGGGACTCTGTAAGAAGGATTCTGGCTCGAATGGGAAGGAAGCTAGTGCTGCATCTGAAGGTCTGAGATTTTACAAGCAATAGCTCTAGTTGTGTTACTTAGGGCAAGTCAAATATGATTGGGCCTCAGTTTCCCTACTTGTAAAAGTAGAGTTGGTTCCATGATTTCTAAGCATCCTTGGGGCTTAAGGACCTTTCATATTTCTAGAAGGGAGTTTGAGTCCTGGTAGGCTTTATGTTAGACTGCAGAACTGCCTGCTAGGTGGTAGATGAGGGATGACTGTAGCAGGGAACCCCTTCTGGGAACCTCTTCTCCCCAACATAAACACAGACTCAAGTGACACATTCTGTTTCCCCAAGGCCTGACCTCTCGGGACACACCCAGCCCTGTGGACCCAGACACGGTGGAGGTGCTGATGACCTTTGAACCCGACCCAGCTGATTTAGCCCTGTCAAGCATTCCAGGCCATGAGACCTTTGACCCTCGGAGACATCGCTTCTCAGAGGAGGAACTTAAACCCCAGCCCATCATGAAGAAGGCTAGGAAGATCCAGGTGCCAGAGGAGCAGAAGGTGAGCACTGCCAGATCGAGGCCACCAGCTTGGCTGGCATACACCCAGCAGCCATGGCTTGCCCTTTCCTCACAGTCAGACCTGGGATTTTTACTGGAATTGGCTCTTAGTTTCTCCTGGCCTACTGCCAAGGATCTGTCCTCCTTGGCCATGGTCAAGGGATGGAGGTCGGGGCTTGAGATTTATGGAGATGGGTACTCAGCCAGTCCTACTGGGTCCAGTGGAACAGGCTTTAAGCATCTCTATCAGTTGGACCCAAAACCCTCACTGGAACACATATCAGGATCTCTTGGGCACAGCTAAGGATAGCATTTGTCAGCAATGGGGCATCATCCTGCCTCTGAGAAGCACCCATGCAGATTGGGGCCGGTCCTTTGACCTCTGATTTGGCCCTTTTAAGAGCACTGGGTGGTCCCTGTTAACAAGCACTGGTCCTCAGCAATCATATTCCAGGGCTGGAGAACCCTGGGCATTATCATGTGGGGACGTCTCAGGCTAGTCTCCTTTGCTCAGGAACAGCTCTTATAGCAACCAGGGCCTCTTGGGAAGGAGGTAACTCCCTGGCCTCTGGGTCAGAGATTGGCTGCAGTCTGGGGACTATTTAGACCTCACATTTGTTTGCTGAGGAGTGATGAATTGCCTTGGCAACCAGGTCACTAGGACCCAGCTTTGGGAAGGTTTTATGGGACACCAAAAGCTATCACTAGGGAGTCTAGACTTTCCTTAGCAACCAGGATCAGCGTAGGTGATATATAGGGCTGTGCTTTTCACTGAGGGAAGTCCTGAGCCTCCGAAGGCCCTATTGCTAGAGAGTCAGCATCCTCAGCTACCAGGAGCTGACTGCAGTCAAGTGAGGAGGGCTGCTGGGGTCTGCTTTGCACAGGGGGAGACTTGAAACCCAGTTGCTTGGGGGAACTCTCATGCCTTAGCTGTTGCTAGGGGCCTACTTTACTTCACAGTCGGCACTGCAAGGGCAGGTCCTTGAATATCCACCCAAGGGAAGGCCCAGTACCCTCATAGGTCCCGCTGCTGGGCAAAAAGCATTCCTGGAGGTCTCTTAGGTGGTCCTTGAAGGCATAAGCAAACCAGCTCCTCCCAGCCCTTCTGGACTTCAGTGCCTTCCTACTCCTTGCCCTCAGGACGAGAAGTATTGGAGCCGGCGGTACAAGAATAACGAGGCAGCCAAGCGGTCCCGAGATGCCCGGCGACTCAAGGAAAACCAGATATCCGTCCGGGCGGCCTTCCTGGAGAAGGAGAATGCCCTGCTGCGGCAGGAGGTGGTGGCTGTGCGCCAGGAACTGTCCCACTACCGCGCTGTCCTTTCTCGCTACCAGGCTCAGCACGGAGCCCTGTGAGGCAGCCCCCTCACTCCCACCCGGCGGAGCTCTCCTCCACCTCGCTGAGACTCGTGCCCCCTTCCCTCCCCGCCCTGTGGCCCACAGGCCGGCCAGCTGGGTGCCCCAGGGACGTGATGATACAGATAAATACATTTATATTTTTAAGAAAAAGCGAGCCTCCCCCCTCCCTCGCGGGGGTGGGGAGGGTCCTCTATGTGTGCTCCCCCCGCCCCCCCCCGGCACGTCGGGGACCCCATCTTTCCACCGCCTCCGTTAACAAGATCCTGAATAAATCTTGAGAACCCCAGAGCCAGCTGTTGTGGGGGAGGAGGCAGCTTCCTGGCCCAGGTTCACGGCCAGCGGGTCACACTGGCCGCAGTCACTGGGCAGGTTTGGGCATCGGGCCAGAAAAGGCAGGCGCTGCAGGAAGTGCCCGGAGCCCGACCCCTCCCGTGGGCCGCCGGATTGAAGGGCGAGGGTCAGAGAGGGATGAAGCGACTGCCTTTATTGCATAGACCTTTTCAATTGCTTTGAAGACGGGTCGGGGGACGCACAGGAGACAAGACACGAGGATTTCCCGGCCCCACCTGGGGGGTTGGAACAGTAGTGCAATATCGGAGCGCCAGCCCCGGGGAACCCGCCCCTCCTGGGCTGATCGGCCAATAAGTGGAGGCACCGGAGTGGATAGGGTGAGACCCGGGCCCTGCCTGGCCAACTAGTGAAGGCCTCCCCCAACCCTTACATTCCAGGTCTCGTCACTGGACGACGCGCAAGACAGGCTCCGCCCTCAGCCGACCTGGGCGTCTACAAGTCGGAGGTCAGGGCTTGCTCTGAGACCTGTGCTCAGTGGTCAGGCACTGCCCTCGATCCGGGCCTATTTGTCTCTGAGGACCCCCGACCCCGGAACTAGAGCCATCCTCCAGCATCACCTCTGGTACTGAGGGTGGGCACAGTCCGGAGACCCGGCCAGGGCCCCTGTGAGGCCCCAGGCCTAACTCAGCCAGCACCCCTTGGAATGTAGGCCCGGCACCTGGCGGGCTCCAATTCTTGTAAGGTTCAGGGCTCCCGCGCAGGGCCACCCGGAGGCCCCGTGATTAGCGTACCAAGACCTGGATGCAACTGCGCTTGCAGCGGCCCGTACTCCACCTGCTCCCCGTCCACCGTGAGCACTCCGCGGGGCGTAAGTGGCTCGAGGCGGAAGGCACGGACAGAGGCATAGCCCAGCTGCGGACAGCCCTGGCTGAAGTGGTTACCCCGCTCCATAGCCAGGAAAAGGCGCAGCAGTGCTGCCCTCGAGATGCCACTGCGCACCCAGCACAGGTGTACCAGGCCGTCGTCAAAGCGCGCATGGGGAGCTGCCACCAGGTCAGCCCCCAGGTGGCTGGGTGAGATGGCCAATATGAGCACAAAGTCCCCCTCCAGCGTCACCCAGCCTGGGGGTAGTGGGGTGCCTAGAGGAGGAAGCAGGTGGTCTGCTAGACCACAGGTAGAGTCAGCTATAGGGACATCAGGGGTAGGAGGTGGGGGCCCAGATGCTGTCATTTCTGGGGTCCCCTCGGTGATGGGTGAGAGTAGAGCTGCCTTGGGGGAGCCAGGGGGTGAGAGCAGCAGTGGATCAGGGGACAGTGGGGCATCCCCAGCCCCACCCCAGTCACCTACCAGCTCTGGGCCCCCACCATTGAGTGACAGGATGGGCAGGGGCTCAGGTGACCCAGGGGAAGTCAGGGAAGGCTGGGGCAGGGGCAGGGGCAGGTCAGACACTGAGCGATGCAAGGGGGAATGGGCCACTGGTGGGGCTGGGGCTGGGGCAAGGGTCAGCTCTGACTTGGCACGGGGCAGGCCGTGGGCAGGGGTGGGTGAGGCTGATTCCACAGTGGCAGGGAGGTAGGAGAGGCGTCCTCGGTAGGTGTGCAGTGTGGCCAGGCCCAGCACCGTGCCCAGTGTGAACCGGGCACTGCCCAGGGCCCTGAAGCGTTCGCTCTGGATGTCCACGTCTGACACGAACCCCCAGGCCACAGACAGGAAGGAGAAACAGCGGGCCCCCGAGGCCAGTGTCACAGAGAGCAGGTCCAGTGGGTGGTGGTTGCCCCGGCAGAGCAGCAGTGAACAGTTGAGCAGCAGGTCAAGGCCCAGGGCCTGCTCAAAGCTTCAGAGCCAGAGAGGAGCGGATGGTGGGAAAGAGCAAATGGAGTTGGTGAGAGACAGACCTTGTAGGGGAGAGGACAGGTTTAGGCTGCTCGGAAATTGGGCAGGCCACGTCCCTGGCCCTGTAACATTCTGGCTGCCCTCAGATGGACTCTCCTTACTGGGCCATGTTCCTTGTCACTTTTTTCCTGCCACAGGCATTCAGAGAATGCCCCCCGCATGCCAGCCAGTTCTAGGCACTAGGGATACGGTGGGGGCATAAGACAGACAAAATGTCCAGGCAGCAGGGAGCACCCATGTGGCTGACAGAGGACTGGCTAGGGGAAGATGTGGAGGGAGTTGTGCCAGGTCTCGCTTATGCCAGGAGAGCTCACCCCTCCCTCCCCTAGTGCATCCTTAGGCGCGCCTGATGCAGGAGTGCCAACCTACCCCCCGTGCTGGTTCACGGCGCCAGCCAATGCATTGCCTGAGCCACAGGGGAGGATGCCCACAGGTGTCTTCACGGCCTCCTCCCAGTCAGGGCGATCGAGGAGTCCATTCAGCACCTGTAGTGTGAAAGACCAAATGCCTGCAGCCAGCCTCCAGTCACCCTGGGCCCTGAGCTCGGGGGTGGGGCACTCCTACCCTACCTCGTACATCAGCCCATCTCCAGAGACTGTTACGATGCCATCCCACTCGCTCAGACACAGTCCCTGGACCAGCTCCCGGGCGTGGTTCTGTCGTTCTAATGTGAGGAATCAGGACATGGAGCAGGCTGGTTGACGCCGCCCGCCTTCCCGGCAATGGCAGGAGTCCCAGTCTCCAAGGCCCAGCTCTGGCCCAACACCATCCTCACCTGTACGGATGAGGTTGAAGGACAGCCCAGCCTCGGCGATCATGGGCAGCACATGGTTCTTACACCACTGCCAGGCCAAGCCTCGCCCCCCAAAGGGATTGACCAATAGGAGCAATCGGGGTGGCTTGGGCAGGAGCTCAGGGCTAATTTCTGCAGAGAGAGGAGAAGGTGTCTACAGAGGCCAGACACCCAGGCACCTTGTCTCAGGAATAGTTAACTGCCAGCAGCCCTCGATGAAATTTGGGGAGGGCTGGTACCTGGAGCTTCCTGGGAGTTCTGTTTTTTCTCCCAAACCCAGGTGGGCAACCCCCCCCACCCCCGCCCCAGGTGCAAAGACAAAGACAGGGCTTGAGGCGCTAATCCCAGTGCCCTTTAGATCCAGGTGTAGGACGAAGGTCAAGTGTGGTTTCCACAGTGCTCACCCCATACACCTGGAACCCGGGATCAGGTTACTCCACTGTATGAGGCACTCACCGTCACCAGCCCTTAGGGACCCCAAGTAGCCAGCAGGACCCTGGAGGACCAAGGAAGCCCCACCAGATGGGGATCCTGGGTGGGGGCCTCTGCCTGAAAAAGCCCTCTCTGGCTTTCCCCCCTCTTCCCCACCCTCCCGCAGACTGGATTAGATGCCACCTCTGGGCACCTGGGAAGCCCTGAGACACTTGTGTGAGTGCCCAGCACCCTGGGTGGTGACTGCTCATGTTTCAGTCTGTTGCTCTCACCCAGAGTAAGCCTCTGAGTCAGTCATCTGTGGTCAAGGCCCACAGAAAGGGGAAGAGAACAGCAGACAAAACACTTTTCTCTGCCTGTGATTTTGCCCCTTTGCCCTGTCTATGTCACACTCTTCCAAGACAGACACAGACAGGTCACACAAAGAGTCACACAGAACAGCAGAGATAACGATGCCCACAGAGGGAGATCCAGAGACACGAAGGTGGCCCTAGGACAAAGGAGATGCCCAGTGCCTCACCCCCATCCCCAGGAAGTGGCAGTCCACGGAGCAGACACGTGAGGGCAGTGGCCCAACGCTGGGCCTCAGCACGGTTCTCCTCATAGGTGGCCGCCCCATCAGCCTGGAAGGTGCGTATGGCTCTGCGCCGGGCCCCACGCCGGCCCCGAGGGTAGGTGTAGATGCAGAGGTAGGCGGCTGAGTCCGAGGGGCTGCGGCTCCGCAGGGTGCAGCAGCCTGAGACCTCAGCCAACAGGACCAGGCCGCCCCGGGGCCGGGCTTCAGGCTTTGGGCGCAGCCGCTGTATGTGCAGGGCCTGTGGTGTGAGAGTGAGGGCGAAGCGTGAGCCTCGGGCTGGGTATGAGCCAAACTCGCCATGCAGGAGTGGGGTGCTGGCGGCCAGTGGCAGCGGCAGTGGCAGCGGTGGGGCCATGGCCTCGGCCCTATCCAGGGCGCTCCTAGGCCAGTGGCCCCAGCTCCAGGTCACCTCCTGGTCCGGCCTCTGTGGGGAGGGAGGAGGGGCAGGAGTCAGAGTCTAGGACCCCGGTGGCAGGTGGAGGGAGGCAGGGACAGGGCCTAGGGACAGGAGGAGACAAGAAGGTGCAGTGACAGGTGAGATGGGAACACCAGAGACAGGCTCAGACAAGTGTGGGGAGAGCCTGAGGAGGCAGAGCAGAGTTCAGTGGGAGAGTAGGGCAGGCATTCTAGAGTGTCTACACCCAGGCACGCAGTCATTCATCTGTTCCCCAAATGTCATTCGGTGCCCTCTATATGCTGATCACGGCATTAGGCCCAGCAAACAAAGCAGGGAACAAACCAGACAAATTTCCCCACCAGTGTGGAGTTGCAAAATAAAGAAGTAAAATATGTAATGTGCTGGATGATGGGACAGGCTCTAGGGAAAAATAAGGTAGAGGAGAGGGACTGGGATGGTGGAGATATGTGCAAAATAAATATGTAACAAAAGAGAAAACACACACACACACACACACACACAGTAGGAATCTTCTCCAGATGGAGAGAGCAGGGGAGAAATAAAGACAAAGAAAAACACATTTATAGAGAAAAGAGAGTTTCAGTGAGATAAAACCTAGGATGAAGAAAGAGAGGCCAGGAACAGGTTAAGGGTGTCAGGTTCTTTGAGGGTCAGGAAGACAAAGAGAAGGGAGAGAAGGAGCAGATCAGAGAGGCAGGAGACAGGGGAGGCGGACAGCTACAGAGACTGAGAAAGGGATGTGACAC